TAGAAACTGATAATTTTTGAGTAGGACAGTTAAAAAAATCATCATCCACATCAGGTTTTTGGGCAAGATCTTCATGAGGACCAATGTTACAACTTTTAGAATTACTTAAACTTGCTTCACAAGGTTTAATGGTGTCTGAAGGATCTTGGGTAAAATTAAATAAATCATTGTTAATTGTAAAATCTTTTTCATTTTTTAGGTTGAGTAAAGAATATGGAGATTTTGATTCTTTAACATTATTATCAATTACCAAACATTGGGTTTCGTTTAAGTTATCAATATTATTTGTTATTTCATTAACCAAAGGTCTAGTGTGGCAATTTGTTACAGGTGTTAATAATTCATAATTTTCTTTAAGCCCAAGATCCATAACTGGACTAGGTGTTTCATCTCTAGTTTCATTTGAGTTCATTTTGTTTGGTATTTGAAACACATTAGATGATAAATTATTTATATTTGATAATGAATTTCCGAAATCCATTACAGGGCTGAGAGATTCTTCTTGTACTATTTCAGGAAGTAACTGACTTTCTATTTGGCTAACAGCATCTAATAAAAATGCATCACTAGGACTTGAATGATTAGATTCTAAGTAAACATCATCATGTTTATTATGAACACATTCAGATTGAGTGATTGTTTTGAGCGTAATCATTTCAGTTTTATCAGTAGAATTATTTCCACTAACTTTATCAGTTTTTTCTTTGTTGCAAAGCATATTAATAGTATTCCCCTATAAGTAATAAGTAAATTAGCAATAATTTTTTAATGAATTAAAATATTAACTTACAGCGCAAGGTAACTGTGGTGCAGAAAACGCATGATTTTCCATTATATTTTCTAAAGATGTTCCATTAGATACTACAAAATAAATAATGTAAAATCAAAATAATCTGAAGAAAAATTTACATATATTAGTTTAAAGGATTACCAATGGCTTTCACTTCTTTGGGAGCTTCAGTAGGTTTTCCATCAACATAATAATTAGCTTTAATCTCTCCAAACATCAAGCATGCATTTTCTTCAAGAAAATAAGCGACATTTTTTTTCAAAGGTTTCTAGAATAAAATAAAGATTTAAAAAATATTTAACAGGTAATTGATAAAATGCATTAATAAAAGTGTTACCTTATTAAGTTTAGTCTTATTTAAACTTCCTTTATCTAACAGGACAACACCATCAGAATCACATTGAATAACTGCATGGTTCATTGATACTGACTAATATGTATAATAATTAAAAATGTTAATGTTTAATACAATCTAGATTTAATAAATATTAATCATACCGGATGTTCAATGTATATATGGTTTAAAGGATGTCTTCCAATTGTATTATCACCTTCATTAAGTACATAACATTCATTGTCATCCACATTATTTAGGACAATGCAACCAAACTAATAATAAAATATTTACAAATTAATGATATTATATAATTAATTTGGGTATTAAATTATGATTATAATAAAAATCTTCATATTTTTAATAATTTAGTATGTATCTATATTTTAGACATTTTTATTTGAACTTAATTTATTAATTCCATTCTATATTTTAAATGTTGAGTTTAAATTTTACAGTATTATTCCCCTTAGGCTGGAGTTCAGAAAACAACAAATAATTCTTTGTATTCCAGAAAGATTAATTCCTATTTCAACAAAAATTAGATGAATGCATTTTCCTTAAAGTCCAACTAAAATACCGTGAGGACATAGACTATGCTTTGCAAATCTTAATAACGGACTCAATCTTTTCACCAACAACTACTAATGCACAAATAAAACTAAACCAATATATTTATCTACCAAATCATCTAAAGAGATTAATCAATAAAAACGACAAGTTAGAAAAATCTGATAACAAGCACATTATCCAAATCATAAACATGAATTCAACAAATTAACAAATAAATTAAAAAATGAACTCTAAAACTTTTAGGCTAATAAATTTCACTCTTTCTTATCGTCATTAACACCAAACAATGGTTCTTTGTGGAAATTAATAAAAAACAGATACAGTTTCTCCTTTATTAAACTATGATAATTCTTTAACTATAACTGACAATGAAAAAGCAAATATATTCTGAATCCACCTTTTTCAAAATTTTCAACCCCATACCAATATAAATCCAAATTTAACATACATAGAAAATGTCCAAACTACCTCAGTAGTTTACTACCCATGTTACTATCAGCTAGACCAATCACAACTCATGAAATAAAGTCACATATTACAAAATTATACAACAAAAAAGCCCCATGGTACAGTCTAATAATAAAATTTTAAAAATATTAACTCACAAATATTATATCTATAATATGTTTTACTTTTAAATAAGATCTATTATTTTATTTTATAACAGTACATGCTAAGGCTCAAGACAAGAAACTAAGTGACAGTAATAAGAGGATAATAATAATATTATAAATATAAAGTAAGTAAATGATAAATTAAGTAAAAAGAAAATAGATAGGAGACCGGGTTAGAGATAATTTAGAGATAGTTAAGTTGGGTCTTCATTTATAAGACATATAAGATGATAAATAGGATAGCTAAATAGTTTGATGAAGAAAATGTATGTTACCTATTATTTTGTTACATTACCATTAAATATAATTAACGTTATATTATGTTACCATTATTATGTTTTAAAAGGTTTTGTATACAAAATTAACCATTATTAATTTAATAAATTGTTTACAAACTTTATATAGGTAAATCAAGTAATTGAAAAAATATTTGACTTAAATCACTTTTATAATAGCTATGAAAATTAAAAATGTATGAAGTACAACACTATCGAAACCCCATACCCGATATTTGAAAATTTCACATCATGTGTGAGATCTTCCGAAAGAATAATTATATTAATATTTCAAAGGCCGTTCCTATATTTGCCTTAAGGGATTGGACACCTGTGAGTACGTACGCTATTCGCTTTATCGTTTCTGTCAATCGGGTGATCGTCGACACAGTCGTGCATGGCCTGCGTACACAACCAAGGCGAATCCTCGTCCATATTCGGTGGTCGTATGTCGGTCGTTTATTTACAACCACACTCAACGTTCGGCAGGATCACATTTTCACACAACTTGTTGAGTTGACAAAGTTCACGATCGCTTTAGGGAGAAAAAAATAACCAACATAGAGCATTAATTTCGTACATTTAAAAAATCACTGGAAATTTTAAAAACAAAACAATAAAGCGTGTTGCTCCTGTTAACGGACGTGATAACAATTATGCACATTCGGCGGTCGTATTGATTAGAGTGAACGTAAGAACGAGATTGATACCTTTTTCGGTCGGTGGTAAATTATTTTCGTTTCAAACGTATGTCCCTACGTCCAAATGGTAAAAAGCAGTGCTCGACTTGAGGGGTGACGCAAGGGAACGGAGTACCTCAATTCATTTTCAGAAATTTTAGCGTTCCCCAACTATTATTATGTTATAATTATAACGCTTAACAAGTTTTAGGGACGCTCTTTTTTTTAAAGTAAATAGAGTCCCCCTTCTTTAATTTTTCCAAGTCGAGCATTGGTAAAAAGAAAAAAATAATCATCACAACGATTTGAAAATTTGCTTTACTATAGGTTCGGAAAGGAACAAATAGCAATGCAGATTAGAATTCGAGATATATTTCTACTTTACCAGGCACCCATAATTATGGAATTTTTTCTTCAGGTCCTTTTCAACACTGAATAGGATGGTGCAAACGAAAACTGGCGCAGATAGTTAATTTTGTAGTTATATCCTCTTAAAGTTTTCACTTCTATTTAAACAATCTATATTGAACAACGTTTTTATGTAAACCGTGGAGCAATGGATAACGCGGCACTACCTAAATGGAGAGTTTTTTAACGCCTTTTTAATGTACCAACTCAATTGTCTTCGTTATGATCGGTTTGATAATATAATATTTAGAATCGTAATATTATATTATTGTCGTAATTTACGACGAACATGGCGATAGGCGACCGGCTGAAAATGAAAACCGGTGACCAACCGGACCTTTAGGCCTCTTTTACACGGAACAACAATGGTAGCGCGACCACCGCGGTGCCACTAGAAAAGCATGACCGCTATTCGTGCTGCCAGAATAGCGCTACTATGATATTTCGGTGTTCATTCAGTGCCAACGTTGAAGTCGAAGAGCTGGTTTGTACAGTGTGTCTAAGACAAATTCATATAACTATTTAAGATTATTATATCATTTTGATCATCTATTAAACTAACGGAACTGCTTCGGCAAGGTTTAACGGATCAATAGACGGTTAGGGAATGTATCTCACCTATCAAAAAATTATTCGTAATTTTAAGGTAAAACCCGCAACTGGCAGTAAGTCAAAATACGCGTTTGTTTATATTCCGTGTGTTACACAACAAGTCGAGGGATGTTTTCAATTTTAACTGTCCGAGTGAGCACAGCGAGCGAATGACCACGATGATAGATTATGTGCTTTTTAAAATGGATGGAAATAAAAATAATCCTCAGAAAAAAGACATTTAAACACAATAAAAAAAAAAAAATAAAAATTAAAAAATTCGTTTGAAAGCTGAACTAAAATTGAAGAAATTAACGTTTTCCAAATCCAAAAAATCAACAGCGGACACAGTACAGAATCGCGAACGCTGTATATTATAACCCTGCAAGAGGCGACAAAAGCAAAGTCACTTCAAGCAGTAAATTAATAAACATAATGGGTTTTTACTTAAGGTAGGGGTAGCTGTATTTTCGGTATACCGGTAATTACCGGTATTTATTAAATACCGGTATTCGGTATTTTCGATATTTGTAAAATTCAGTATACCTTACATTCGATAATGACCGAAAATACAGGCTATCGGTATTTTTAACAAACCTAATAAAAATAATTATTTTTAGCACTTTTTTTTGGATATTTTATTATGGCATTATTCTATTATTGTATTAATAGCTTATCGGTATTTATTGATTGATTATTTTTCAATGGTCAAATATCAGTGTGCTGGCGTACTGCTAAAAATACTTATATATATTTGGAACTAGCGTACCTTGTGAAAGGCTTTTTAGTACAGGTGGGAATATATGCACTGATTATCGTGCATCACTATCTCCAGATCACGCAGAGCAGTTGATATTTCTATCAAAAAACTCTCACATTTTTAAACCTTAATATCAATGAAAAAATATTAAATTTTATAAGCTAAAATGTTAAAAAATAGTCATATAAGTATTATGTATTATGTAAAGGTATAAATTTATGTTTTTTTAGATAACTATGTTACATTTTAAAATATTGAAGTTTCCTATACAATAAATATATGTGTTACCTATGTAAAAGTAAATAAATGCATATTTATAGATAACTATTAACAATGTTACCATGTTACATCTTAAAATTTTTATATTGTAATTGAACTATACAGTATATAAGTACTATGTATAGAATAAATTAATAATATTACAAATCATAGAAATAAATTAAATAATGATCAAATTTATAGCATACATTTATGTAATTTAGGTTAGCCATGTTTCGGTGCTACGGTAACTACCACAAATATCGGTTATACGATAGTAACTACAAATACGGTAATAACTGGTAATACTGGTAACACCGAAAATACCAGTACAAAAAAATACCAAAAACCGGTATTAAAATTTCAAATACCGTTAGCCCTAACTTAAGGATATAAACTGAAAACTTTAATTAGCTACATCTTCGAAAGTAATTTCGTGTACTAAGTTTTGATTTTATCAACGTTTTTTTCCTCAAAAAAATTACCAAATAAAGGGGTGCCTGGTAAAATAAAAATGTTCCGAATTTGAAATTTTAATACTATTAAACAGTAAAAGGTTTAGTTATTATAACTGAAACGATATTTATAAACATTAAATAGGTTATGATATCTTTATAATTATAAAACGAAATCAACGTAATAGTGTTTATGACATTTTAGTGATAAATAGGGAACGGATTTATATGTAATAAAAATACAGAAATATTTACATATATATGTAAGTATAATTTATAAAATATGTGCTAAAAACATCCAAATATGTGGGGGGAAAAAAGTGATTATTATTATTAAATTATCAAAATGATTTGTTGCATTGAATTATTACAATATCTTTTAAATTATCAAATGTTAAATGTCGCCTATTAGGTATCAAAATATTTTTAAAACGGCGAAATTATCGTTTCATATCAACCGATGTATAAAAGCATATTTCAAGTGCGTACTATCAGAAGGCGATAATTCCAGATTTTTAGAAGGGTTTCTGCCACTCATTATGTCATTGATTGTTTTAAAATCAATATTGCCTGGAATTTTTTTCTGTAACAGCATGAATTTTCTTTTTTACAACATCTATTGGTCCGCTTACGAGTTTTAATCGCTGATTCAACAATTTGCATACTATCATTTGGGGACATATTTTTTATTAATAATTTTGTTAAATTATTTTTAATTAAAATTAAATTATTTTCAATGTTTCATTTAGCATAATATTTTGAGCTTTTCCAATAGCGATAGAAGTTTCTGGATCTAATTTTGAAATAATTTCTTGTATTTTCATATGAAAAAGACGTATGAATAATGAAATGATAAAAATATGATTAAAAATATTTAAAAATTAGTGAAATATGTAAAAATATGTAATTATACTAAAATATGTAAAAATATGTAAAATAAAAGTATCATCATTTTAATAGGAATGATTTAAATCATAAACATTTCTTATCAAATCTTAAATATCTCGTTTTAATAAAAATATGTATTTACATATAAATCCGTTCCCTAGTGATAAAGTATCAATTTTTATACTTATACTTATAATTGCAGTACAATTTTGATACAGATACTTGGTAGCTTCATAGACATGTTAATATGAATTATAATAATTATTTTAATATGTCTATAGGTAGCGTAAAACTAGATGAAACAAAGTTCAAATGCTTGACATAATAATCATAATACAGTAGACTAAAAAAAACTACGTAGGTACAAATCAACTATTACGGCGGATCGAACAGGTTAGTGATGAATTGATGTATTAATTTCAACTAAAACATAGTGCACACTACCTCATGATTTTTTCCATTAGCTATAAGAAACGCCGTGGCGTATAAATGCATTCATTACATTTTTTGAATTTAACAAATAATCTGTTGTGTATGAATGTTTTATTATATTTTTGCAAAATTCATAAGTGAAAAAATAAATTAAATTTTCTAATTAACTATTTATTATGTGTCAAGGATTTATATAGTGATTTCACCAAAGTGTAAGTTTTTTGTGTGTTATTGTTCATTCAGAAAGAAATTAAATTTTGTTACACGTCTAAAACGCAAACCCTTTAGTGTATATATGAAGATATCAGATCAAGGCCGTCTTAAGGTTTTATGGGGCCCCGGGCCAAACATATTTCGGGGGCCTTATAATGCTAAATTATAATATATATATATACATTTTTAACGCATTATGTATTATTATTTATTAGTAAAAAGTGTATTTTTTTTTTAATCTCTGTTACTTTATTGTTTATCACAATTTCAAAATATACAGTCAAAAAATAGTTTCCTATTAATTAAAACGTCAAGATATATTAATCATTCATAAATTAATGTTTTATAGTTAAAAAATAAATGTAATTCATTAAAAAAAAACTAAAATAATTGTCATAAAAACAATATATGTATTGATATAAATTTGTCAATTATCAAATACTCTTAAATGGTTTTTTCCTAGCTTTTTCATTTGCAAAATCTTCTATAACATTTTTGTAATCTAAATTTAATAGTAGTTCATGTTCAATACTCATTAAAGATAAGGAGTTTAACCGTTTCTAGCTCATGGTACTTCTAAGCTCTTCTTTAATTAAATTTAACTTCGAAAATGAACGTTCCACACTACAGTTGGTAATCATCATTGATAAAAAAATTCAGAAAGATATTATTATGTTTGGAAATGTTTCTTCTAGTCTATTTGATTTTAAAAATTTGTATGTACTAGAAATACTTGAATTCAGAAATTTCAAGTTCTGATAGATAATCTTTTAAGTGTATACATTCTAAAATTAATTCATTTTCATTAATGTCTACGTGATAAAATTCCGCAAATGTTTTACAATAGACTTGTATTTCTTTTGTCTCTAAATTTTGTAAATTAAAGAAAAATCCAAACAGTGTATTTATTGATTTGTATGATTTACCACGAATTTTTAACTGAGTTATTAATGTATCT